TACAGCACTACCTCAATAAGTAATTAAAACCATTCAGGAGGGAGAAATCAGGAAAGGCTTTTTGGGTAAGGAGGCTCTGTGCCTAAAGTGAAGATGAAGAGGAATTGGTAAATTATCAACATGAGAGACCACGTGTGCAAAGGCATGAAGAAGGCAACAGTTTGATGAGGTCAGTTTGGCTGGAATGTGGTCCAGGGGAAGGGCAAGTAAAACGTGACATTGTTTCTGTGTCCTCTACTACAATTTAACCTGCTCTATGCCTGATATCCTCTTAGCCCGTTTACGGAAAACGGAGAGTTGCCTTTTAGGTGGGAAAAGGCAACAGACAAGCAAGGCTTTTTGGGGTTCCCCTAAAGCAAAGAGAGATTGTGTGACTTCCCAAAACTGAATTCCTCCCATACTATCAGGAGAAACCACCTCCTGCAATAGACTCCTTCAATGCCTATTTCTACGCCCTCCCCCCATTTACATTCCCTTCTCTTTACCTACTTATTCCCTTTTTTCCTTCTTGACTCTGTATACATTCAAAAATATATAGCTTTTCTTTACCTAGCGCCCCTTCCGTTAAAATAAAAAACCTTTTTTTTTAAGCTCGGGCTTTCCAGTGTCTGAATGCCCCATCTCTCGAGAGGTCAATAACTCCCCAACACCCAAGCTCCCCGCGCAAAGAACGGGAGCGCGGCCTCCCAGGGCCCACCCACAGGTTTAGCGGCCTTCCCGATGACGTCGAGCAGATGTTCGCTTTCGATTGGTTGGTCACGCCCAAGTTCCGCCCACCACCGGTCGGGCCCAGAAAGCCCCAGGCTGTACAGTCTCCCTCCCTCCTCCCAGCCAGACCCCGCCAGCCCAGCCTAGGCTCCCGCGAGCCCTAACGGAACACCTGACTCGCAGGCGAACCTGCTTCTCCCGCTCGTCCGTTCTGTGCCGAGCACTCCGGCCCAGCCTGATTCCCTGACGCTCTCATTTACCCAAATCGACTTGTCCCATCGAGTCCGACGCTGCTCCTTCACAAGACCCGATTTGAAATCTCGCGCGCCCCAAGTACCGCCGACTCCGTGTAACGGCCGCGAGGGTGACGCACATCCGGGGGCGTGACCCGAGACAGCCTATCTGTTCGGGATTGGCTAATCTGGGAGGAGGGCGGAGTGACTTAGAGGATGGCGCTCTGTGACCTCGGTAGAGACGGTGCCGCCGCTGCTATGGCTGATATCGTTACTGCTCCTTGTGGGTCTGAGTGTTGCTTCAGTGATACGGTCCACAGTGCTCAGTCTGGGGACCTGCCTGGATTTGGGGGGATGCTCCGGCACTCCGAGCCGGGCTCCCGCAGGGAACAGAAATCAGTACCATCCTGGGTCCCGCGGACAGCCCCATGCCCCACCGACAGTCAGTCAGCAAACGTTTGTTTATTAAGCGCTTACTGATGTACCAGGCGCTGTGCTAAGCTGTGGGGTGTTGTTGGTCCTTCTCTTTCGAAGAGGACCAGTGACATCATGGATGATGTCTTGACTTGAATTGGATTTAAGTGACGCAGAGTTGCATAAAGTTCTCAGCTTCACTCTCACCTCCAGAGTCATCGAAATCCAAAGTCTAGACGACTGTCGATGATACGGGATGCAAGAAAAGTAAAAAAAAAAAGTCCTTTCTCTCAACAACCTCACAGTTTAATGGGGAAGACCACACGAACACAATTGCATACCAACAATATAGTTATAGTTATGTGTGTATATATATGCAAACATATGCATGTAGTGTGTATATACAAGGGAGACAACATGTAAGCAATTATGTACAAACAAGATATGTGTCTATGCACACATAATATATAGGGGAGACAATGAGCAAACAATTATGTACAAACGATATATATGTATATACTAGATAGACACATATAGGGGAGAAAACATGCAAATTATGCCCTAACTATATACGTACACATATATGGGAGACATGCAAACAAGATATATACATATATGTTTATATATAGGGGAGACAACATGCAAACAAATACAAATGATATCTGTATATATATATACCTATAAAGGAAAAGACAACGTGCAAACAATTATATGCAAACAAGATATATATGTGTATATAATCCTATTTTCAATTTTTATGTATCTGATTATTTCCAACTTATATATATGTGTATGACTATATATAATATATATATTTATATATGATAAATTGGAAATAAAGGGAAGGCACTAGAATTATGGGGAATCAGGAAAGGTAAGAAGGATTCATTAGCCAGGAAGGAGGAAATGTGTGATAACTATGGGACAGGAGAGGAAGTCGTTAGATACCCAAATCTGTGTCATTGATCATTTGGACAGTCTGATAAAGTCTAAGGACTCAGAATAATGTAATTTAAGCAATAAGCATTTATTAAGCACTTATTAGATTGCTAGACACAGTGCCAAGTGCTAACGTTTTAAAATAATTGAAGAAAATGCTGAACTTCAGTTAGAGGTTAAGGAAAATATTTAATTGTTCTGCCATCTAATTTCACTGAGCCCTCTGAAATCTCCCCACAGATCCCAAGAATCCCTGTCGTATGATTTCTGTGAAGGTCCCTGATAACCTTCCCCCTCCCACCTCACCTAGCACTTCTATAACTCCCACTGTTAGTCTGTAAACTCCTTAAAGGCCTAGAGATCTCATGTTATCTAGATTTTTGTTATCTCCCCTAGTGCCTGTCCTTCATGACTCGGCTCAAATCCAGCCTTTCTCCAAGAGGGGTTTCTAGGTTTTTCCCACTGTTGATGCCTTCCCTCTTAGATGACCTTCCATTTACACTATTTGTATATTATATGTACATAATTATTTGTGTATTCTCTCCTCCATAAGAATGTGAGATCTTTGCATCATCAGAACTTTGCACAGTGCCTGGCATATGGTGCTTGATAACCTCTAGTCGACTTGCTTGCTAACTGACATCTGCACAGAGTAGATAGATGCTAAGTAAATGTTGTTTGAATGAAACCAGCTCTGAGTTGTCTGCCATGGCTTTGATGTCAGAAAGTCACAGTGGGGTCCTGAACATCCTTAACCCCATGGAAGAACTCTCCTCACTGTCTGGCTTTGGAATCAAGAGTCCTAGCATTGAGAGTCCATTGTTCCTTTTCTTTCAATTCATCTCTCTAGGCTTCAGTTTCTTCATCTATAAAATGAGAGGTTTGGACCAGATTACTTCTAAGGTCCCTTCCTGCTCATCCATATTCATTTAGCTAAATCTTTCTAAACCTATTTTGACTTTCTGCTTTAACCACTTTTTAGAGTTGTTATTCTAAAATGTAATTCATGTTTAGAGAGTGTGATATTTCACTGATCTATTCTGATATTTGACTGTCTTAGGGTAAGAGAGGATTATTATTTTTTCCTAGCCTTAGAACATATAAATGGTTTCCTGCCTGGTACCTCATTCCATTGTCCTCTAATGAGATGAATGCAAAGGATATGTGGTGATGGGAATTGGGGTAACATTAGAGAAGCCATTGAAGAGCCTGGATTGGTGTCCATGATTGGGTTAACTGAAACAAAACAAGATTCTAAGGCCATACTTTTGCCCTCTCCTAACTATCTGGTCGTTCTTGCAGATCTGACTAAGAATGGTTCGATACCCATTGTACAGTATTCTCATTACATGTTGTTTCTCTGTTTCTGTCTCTTCAGAATGCCATATCTGCTTTTGGCTGGTTGGGGCTAAAGTATGTACAAAGAGGTTGCAATAATTTATCATTAACATCTGAAGCACAATACCTCTGTATAAAGAAGTAGCAGAGGGGCAGAAAGTCACAAATATTGCTTTTTGGACTGCCAGAAAAATGGTCTAAAGATCTCCAGCATACCCTACCTTAGTCACAAATAGAGATTATCTTACTAATGGAATAATTCAGTCTTGAAATGTCCTTAAGCTAGGTGGAGAACTCTGATGTTATGCTCTTAGATAACATGCAGTGTCATTTTTGGCTTCTAAACCTTGTCTAACTTGATGATGTATTTCATGATATAAAACACTGAGTCTGTATGAGAAGACTTGGTAAATGCCTTTGCGTTCCTCCTGGCTTGCAAGCAAATATTTTTTGGTTTCGTGCATTTTGAGGAATTCCTGCTCTGTTAAGCAACAGGCTAAGAACCAATTAATTCATGTCTCCCATGACTGCCAGATAATAACTGTCCTCCCTTATAGTGTGTGTGAAACCCAATAGTGCTCTAAATTTTTCAAAGTTAAAATGGGCATCATCCTCATTTTACTGATTAAATTGAAACAAAAAAGGGCTAGGTTACTTACCTAAGTCATACAGAAAACATTGGCAGAAAATGGCAGAAAACATTGACTGGGAGCCAAATCTCACCAGGCTCTTTCCAGTAACACCTTGTGACTTTTCCAGAAGGAATTATAACCAGTGACCCATAAGAGAATAACTGTATCCTACAGATAAATCCTTTGAGCCTTGACAGTTTTGGGGGTTTTTTGTTTTTGTTTTTGATGGAAAGCTCTATTCTCTTACTCATTAAAACTATGTCCTTCTATTCATCTTCTTATTTTCCTGTACCCCTCTGCGCACCCTCTGTTCCACCCAAGCTTTGATGACTGTTTCTTTTGTTTCCTTCACCCACTCACAACTTTAAAATCTCTTTCATGACTCCTATTACACTGGAAATAACCACCTAGAATACTGTACCAGTTTCATTCTTTCTCTATGGACCAATGCTTAATAGTTCTTATAAATACTGTTTGTGGTCACTTAGGCCTTTTAATTTTGCAGAAATTATGTGTTTGTGGCACCACAGAAATTGTTCATGGCACAATAACAATGTGCTGTGTTTAACTTTCATATTGGCCATACCCCTTAGGAAATCCACAAGGCAGACTGGTATGAAGTATATTGTGAAATGCCAGCATGTGTTAAGTAAGGTATGCTGGGAGGTACTTGGGGATATTTAGAGTTAGGCATGTGTAACCTTGGCCTGACATGTTAGTACAAAAAGGATGCAGATTTGTATAGAAAATAATTTTACTTTATTGGTTCAAAAATAAAATACAAGTTATTTTCAATTCCACAGAACAAGTGTATGTGTGTATATATTTAAGAAAAAAAAACATCTTCCACCGTCATAAAACTTCACAACTTCAAAGAAACTCATGGCATATCCCAGAGGGTATCATACAAAAAATGAGCTGCCCTTGGACTATGGAGAACAATGTGAGTTAGCACTGGATTTTGGCAAACATTTTGAGTCATTTTGTGTTATCATGACTATAGTCCCAGAGAAACTAGTTAACATCTGACACCCTGTGGTAGTGTTAATGTCATGTCAGCCACATTTCCATAGATAGCATTTTATGATAACAGTGGGGGAGAAACAGCATGCACAGTCTCTGACTATGATCCCTGCCCTCATTCTTTACCCCCACAAACCTATATAAATCAATACCTGAGGTTCAAAAAGGCAAAAGCAAATCCATAACGTCTTTAAAACCAATACTTTGTCATAAGTAAACCTGGGTTCTTGTAACCTCACTTGTGAAAAACCACAATGTAGAGATAATTCTTCAGTCTAAATTTAAAAGAAACTGAAAGAATTTCCAAACTGAGGAAAAGTAGAGTGTATTAGAGGTTAATGGATGTATTAGAGGTTAAAGCTTCTTTCCACGTAAAAAGCTCTTCCTCAATAACTCTATAGCAATTGTTGGTTATCTCTTAAAACTGAGAGAGATATTCTCTTTCAATAATACTACATAGCAATTATCAATCTTAGTGACCCTGTTTTTAAAAGATCCTCCTTAAGTACTCTCTGTTGCTTCTAAGCACTGGAAAAGTTGTCTGATACTGGCTATGGCATCAATTAGAATAAGTAAATTACTTTGGCCAGTAGGGTCGATTGTTAATTTCAGAATCTTACACTTCAGCAACAATGTGGGTACTTCCTCCAACCGTGTAGATCATAACCTGTTCCTATGTTCTTATCTTGAATAAATTTTGCCTATGTCTCCATAATCCTCCATAAGTGATCAGCCTGATGGCTAGAGGCCTTCCTCTGATTCTTTTCATGACAGTGTTGAAGAATCAATGCTAATACATGATTTGATTAAGACTGGTGGTATCAGGGATACAATCACCACAAAATTTGGAGTCAAAACTGAAAAACACAACAAAGAAGAAAATGCCTTATTTCTTGGTTGCATGTTAGAAATATTGAAGGTATGGAATGCTCACATAGGAGGAGTTAGATCCTAAAATCTGTGAATTTGAAATCAAAAAGCCTGATAGCATTTGCTTGGGATGAAGTGATGTCAAGGAATTATTCGAATAACAAATGACTCCCATTTATATAGGGCTTTATGATTAAAAAGCACTTTATAGAATGTGATCAACTTTGCTGCAAGTGAAATAGATCTGTTCACATAAGGGAATCAAGTTTAAAGGGAAAACTAGGTAAGATGCATAAATAGGAACAGGCTAAAATGGCTATTCTCTCAAGTTCTCCCCAATTTTCAGTACAAATGTTTACAGCTTCTCAGAACCTGTTTTCCTTCTAGATCTCAGTCACAAGAATATGCGGCCATGTGTGCCTGTGCACTCTGATCTCCTTTTGATCATGTTGTGAATCATGTCAGTAGAATAAACCTTAGAAGCCACAGCCTAGGTTAGTTAGTGCCAGGTAGCCTATACCCTATTTTCATGAAATGTCTCCTCTTGTACCCTATGCCCAGGCTCATGAACTACATATCCTCATGACAAGTCAAGGGGCACAGATACTGACTGTAAGACATCTGAAAAACAGACTCTATAGGAGCCCCGAAAATCAGAAATCCCGTTTTTAATGGCCTTTACATGACCCTACCAGATATTGGTAAGCCGGGCAAAGATTTCACCTGGGTCACAAGGTCATGGAACTCTGTCACTGCCTTTGAGTGTGCCGCAGAGTCCAGTTCGAGGTGACGAAAGAGATTGACGGGCTTAGCACTCCGAAAGTTCTTGGGGACTGGGATGGTAAGGGGTAGAAAGGTGTTTCCAATCAAGAAGTGATAAAGACATCTCTCCTGAAGCCCACGGCCAAGGTACCAGAGAATGTCCTGGAGCCGTTGGGGAAATAGATCAGGCTTCCAGTCAGTGAGAGGCAGTTGTAGCAAGAGATGCATGAGGGCTGTCTTGAAGTGGTAAGGGGTGAGGATGGGTTGATGTAGCCCATGGGGTGGGGCCTTGAGACTCTGGAGGTACGAAATGATCTGGAGGCACTTGAGATGACAAGTCTTCTCTGGGGCAAATCGCCCAACCAGCTTCAGGAACAGGTGCTCACAGGCTGCGAAAGACTCAGGCCAGTCCACACTAGTCAGCTTCTCTTGCTCAGGTGATTGACTCACAAAATAAACCAGAGAGTCATCCCGTTGCACTCCCAGGATCAAGTTGATTAAGAGAAATCGACCTGAGCGGTAGTCCAGCCTCAGTTTACATGAGGTGACTGAAGGTGGGAGGCTAAGCTTAAAGTCATACTTATGTGCCACTAGGGCCCAGGCATTCCCCACCAGGCTTCGGAACCAATACAGGCTCTTGTACACATCCAGGTTTGAGCCGGTACAAAAGTTGGACTTCAGGGACTTGGCAGGGCTACCAGTACTTGAGGTTTGGTCCCAGTGATGTACAAGACACAGCACATCACCCAAAAGCTTTTCTCGTTTGCACACGCATTCTGACTCCACCACCACTCGGCCACAACGGAGCAGACTGGATTCTGGGGCTCTCATCTCTAGGTGGAATGAGTTGCTTTGTGGGGCTGATAAAGGCACCAGCACTTCGAACCTGTGAGCATCTTGGCCAATGCCCCATTTCTCAAAGGCAGGGCCTACACCCAGGCAATCCTCCAACTGCGGGTGTATCTCCCTCCGGCCCAGTACCTGACAGGCCTCTATCAGGTCATCCACAAAGCTCTCCACAAATTCACAAGTACTAGGCAGGTCACGGGTGGTGTTTTGGAGGTTCTGCTCAAAAAAGGAATCCAAGTCTTCCTGCTTAGGAAAGTCAGATAACCAACTGCAGGTAGTAACAGTCTCCCCAGTGGTTTCCTCCTCTTCCTCATCGCTGCTAGAGTCAAAAAGTTGTTCATGTTGCATATTCTGCCGGAAAAGCTCAAAAAGGAGAAAGAGACTAAAGAGGCCTGCGTTCCACAGGTTCCCCAGCATCCAGCCTAGCGGCCCTTTGGGCCTTCAGACTGGAATGCCCAGGTCTTCTTCGAATCTTCTGTTGGTACGTTGTTTTCCTTGGTTTTTTCCTCATTGATTTCTTCACGTTTTCTTTTCCCAGTTTCTAAGGGTTTCCAGATTGCCTGCCTCTTGTCCTCCTCCCGGGTTCTCTCTTCAAACTCCAGCTCTAGCTGCCGCATCTCTTCGATCATCACCTTCTCCAGTTGTCGGCTTCGGGCCAGTGTGTCCAGGTCCATCCGGTCACTGACAAGCATCAGGTGCTGGACAACATACATCACCGCCACAAACAGGAAACTTATCATAGCCATGGAGGCCACTGCATCTGGAGAGGTAGGAGGGTGGGGGAGTAAGTAGTGATCTTCTGAGCTTGTTTTCTCTCCACTTGCATATTCCCCAGATACTTGTACCCTAAAATCATGGATGATGACTACATGCTCTGGGGAGAGGAATATTCTATAGCTTGGACTAGACAGATAGGGGCTATCTTCCTGTAATGAATTCTCTTTGTATTAAAAAGAATAGGGTTAGAGGAATATGATTTTTTTATATATATGGAGATATATATATAGATATAGATATAGATATATATAGCTTTCTACTACATGGTTTGGAGAATATTTAGACCTCCCAACTTGGGGAGGTAGGTAATTTTCCCATTCCTTTGTAAGCTGGGTGGGTATCCTCACAGTAAGGGGTCTCACTCAACCATAGAAGTCCACCACAGAAACCAGATATGCCCTGCTAATCCTAATGACTTTCTTCCCCCTGGCAAAAGGCGTTGAATCTGCCTAGGCAACTGCCTTTCCTACCTCCAGGCAACCTAACCTCCGATTGTTCAATGGCATTTCCTTTCTGACTTCATAACCTCTTCTCTGCCTAACCTGTGACATCACAATTGCTCTGCCTATCCATCTCCAGCTTAAACCTTAGAGGATCATTTGTATCCCCTATATATAGCTGGTATATAGCTACAGACAGCCCCTACAGACAGTACTCACAGCCACCTCTACGGCTTGCTGCCGTGTTGTGCCCTCTTGGGTTTTTTGGACTCCATCCACTTACACTGGTTCTGGCACTGAGTCCAAGAAGCTGCTTGAGGAACTTGCTGCCTAGGCCTTTTTCTAACAGTTTGATGAGTAAATGAAAGCAGAAGTCCACTTTCCTACCAGGAGGAGCAGAGGGAAAGAGCATGCACCCCCATCAATCACCAGTTTTCCGGGGAACAAGCACCTATAGGAATGGCTAAAGAAAGGCTGGGGGGGATCAATGTTTTTAAATATGTGGTATCCCCAAGTCCTCTGATAACTTTCTTCCCATTTGGAAACTAGAGTTGCCAGCTCTCATCTCCACCTCTAAGAATGCCATTATAATTTACAAAAAGCATAACAATCTTAGGCTCAAAGCTGGATGATCCCCATCCTTAGCCATCCTACTTCCCTTTTCATAGTTCACTCTAAGGTACACACCCCATCCCACTTTCCTGAGGCAATGATCCCACCACAGAGTTACTCTTAATAAGGCCAAGATTTACTTACAATCTGTGAAATCGCAAGCATACTTCTTAAAGAGACAGAGTAGCCTCAACCTTCATGACTTCCAATATCCTTTGCCTTATCTGTCGATATTTGTCTCTTCTTCAGCCTCGGCTGAATCTGCCACATGGAGAGTCTGTTTGGTAATTTCCAGAGACTATACCACCGTATATACATGTGTATGTTGGTTACAAGATAGGCATTGTACCTGGATTAAAATTTTTAAAAAAAAAGGCACCTCCCAGGAGCTGGCTGCTTCAATGGAAATCTTATTCCTCTGATACCAGACAGAAGCTATGCTCCGCCTAGCCCAGTGCTCCACCCTCCCTTTCTCACGGACACATGATCTTGCTTTCTGGGCTCTTTCTTTTACACATCTGGCCAGCTGCCCAGTCCTAGACAAGCTCCTCCCATGTACAAATCTAGATTACCAAATGACAATGGGAAAGAATTTGGCCAGGATAAAGGTGAAATTAAAAGATAATTTGTGCTGCAACAATTACCATCACATATTCTACTCTTCTGTTCACAATCCAGGATCACTGTCAAAGTTTGTGAAAAGAAAGCTCAGAGATCTAAGAGAAAGTTGTCCAACTTAATTGCCCAGGGAATATAATTTGTCTTCCAATTGCTCTCATATCTTGTGCCAGTAGGGGCCAGTGGAGGGATGAGAATTCAATAAACAGTCTCTGCTTCCTATGGCCTCCTAAACAATGGGCATCAAAACATTCTTGTGTCAGAAAACCAGAAGATAATCAGCAAAAGACAAAAAGTTGGGAGAAAGCAAATGCTCTCATTCATTCAGAGAAAAAAGTACTAAATGACTAAGTGTCCTCCTCTGTAACACGAAGAGATTGGACCAGATAATCCTTTCTAATTCTGAAATCCTATGACCTTAAGTTTGTCTTCATTGCTGTTCCACTTACCCCCTTTAAAATATTTTTTAAATTTTATGCTTTTCATTTTTACATCACCATTATTTTCAGATAAACTTCCAAGACCACCAGAGAACACTCTCTTGCAACAAAAGTTAGGCAGTAACTGCAAAGAAAAAGGTATTCAATATGTCACACCCATAGTCCCCACCATCACTTATATCAATATCATCCAGTAAGTAATCTAAGCACAAATTCCCCTTCGTCACCTCAAAATAGCACAGTAAGGAATGAGTAAAAGACTAGTTTAAAAAAGAAGGTAAAAGGAAATAATTTCTAAGAAAATCTTATAGAAAAACAGCAGGGGACTGAAAAAAAAAAAGAAAAAAAAGAAATCCCACTACAATAAATATGTATCATATGTAAAGGAAAGTGAAGTGAAATCCTTGAGAGAAAAGGATAATTCTCCAACTGCGAGAACACCAGACATTTGAGCAGAGCAACTGTTAGAATCTCCAGAGACATTTAGAAGGAAATTAAAGCTCTCAAAAAATTCAAAAAGACAAACCAGACAATCATTGTCCTTTTCCCATCACTCTCAGTATCCAATTCTCATTCTGTCCCTTTCTTTCCCCCTCTATCAATACTTGTTCTCAGGAAAAATCGTGAAAAAGAGAACCAGAAATATTTCAAGCATTTTTATGCAAAGCATACTTCTCCCATTAGGTCCAATATGCTAAGATTAGTTTTTAAGAGCCAACTGGTAGGCTTCAAATCCTCAATCAATTGTTATTTAAGATTTATTTTGTGCCACTTCGAATTTCTTGCATCTCTCATAAAATTGTGGGAAGTAAGAAAATGTACTGTTAAAACAGTACCTAGATAGAACTTTAAAGTTTTGAATGGTTAGAGGTTTCAAAACAGTTCAGACTTTCCCTACTGAGAGAAAAGTATTCAGATAGGTATCAAGTTTCAAAATACCAAAGGTACAGATTGGTACCTAATTATTAGGCCTATTCCCTTAGGCAAAATCTCCAAGCTCTTTCTGCTATTGTTCTGTCACTCATAGACGTTTGGAATGCCTGTGTTACCAAATTAATATTTGGTTTTAACACAGCTAAATAAATGAATTGTTTGTACCTTGTCTGTATTTAGGATCATAGATTTAGAACAGAAAGTGACCTTAGAGGTCAGGTGGTTCTAACACCTCATGTTATTTTGAAATTTTTTCCTTTTTATTCTGAACTTAATAGTCATTAACAAACATGAACATTTCAGTTTACAAAGAATAAGAGACTGTATTTGAAAAGATGAATTTCTATAACATATGGTATTTTAACATATGTTAAATTTAACAAAGAATTAATAAAATTGCCCTTTTTTGTGTCCCCTTCTGCACTTCTTTTTGTTTTCTTTGCATACTTTTTCAATGTTTTCGTTTTCTTTAAAACATTTTATTATGAACACAATTAAACATAAATGTAATTATGAACTTTTAAATAATTATTTAATTTGTAAAAGTTTGAGATTGGGCTCATAGCACATTACATACTCAAGTTTACTTCTCAAGATAAATGTAAACAAACATTTTGATGAACATTCAATGTATCTTCACTTACATATTTACAATATGATATGAAATGTGGAAGAGCTCTGGAAGCAAAATGTGAGGCAGATGGTGAAGAGTTTTTGTATCCTTTGAATTTTCCTTGCCTTAAAACAATATGAATGAATCCCTAGAAAATGATTATTTATTTGGCTGAAATGACATTAATTTTCAAAGCTACCTGTTGCCCAAAGCTTTGTGTATTTTGGGGTCTGTGAATATTTTAAAATAATTTTTCTTTGAATGACATTGTATGCTATAAGATGTCCCAAAAGTCTTAATTCTGTTTTTAAGCTATAAAAATTTTAGCTAGTAAAGCTTAAGCTATTCAAGGTAAAAAGTGAACAAAGACTTTGGGGACACCCTGTATATTTGAATTCTACTTAAATACATTTTTAATCCATAAACCTATTATTGACAAGATAAAATTGTGCACCATAATGTAAAGATATGATTTTACATATATGATGTCTCCTCCATTCCCTCAGTTAGTTTCTCATCCTTTGTTTTCGAAGAAGACCGGTGACATTATGTGTGATGTCTTGACTTGAATTGGATTGAAGTGAGGCAGAATTTCACAAAGTCATCAGCTTTACACTCTCTTCCAGAGCCATCCAAGTCTAGTGGCAAGAGAAAACTCAAGATGACCAAGCTCTAAATGTTCCACAGTGCCTGCTTCATCCTCCTTCATGGCTGTTGGAAGAGGGGGCTCTCCTTTGCCCATTCTGCTGGAAGAAGTCTTCGCACGCTTAGGGTAGACATCCCCCTAACTCACAGATGGATTTGAGGCCCATCAGTTACCCTCAACCTGGTTTAGCTCTTATGCAAGACAATTTTTATCGGGGTATAGCCGCTGCACAAGCTACAGCTTCTTGGAGCCACAGGTGAGAGTTGGGGAAAGGTGGATGAGCAGCCCTGACAAGGACTCGGCAAGTCCTCACAGAGGTGCTAGTCCTCCCTGAATACCCCATACACTCCTGGCAAAGTAGTAAGGCTCAGGATGTGTAGAGGGACTAAAGGGCTGGATCAAAATGCCTGAGGTCACTTTCCTGTCTGCTTTTAAAAGGAAAGGCTTGCTAAAGCCAGCACATCCAAGTGTTGGTGCTGCAGGGCCCTTTTTAAAGTTCATGTGATGGTTATACTCCAAATCTCCAGAAGATAAGATTTATTTTTATTTATATTTTATTATCAACACAATTGAACATAAGCACTTCATTACATACAAAGAAGAAAAGGTTATTAAATGTCAAACCCTGCAATCATGTTAAATTGTTTTTAAATTGTATATTTAACTTTAACAAAGTAATAACAAAGTTACCTTGTTTGTATCCTTTCTAAACTTATTTTTGTTTTCTGTGCATTTTTTAAATGTTGTATTGATGCTCTTTCTCTTCTTATTTTTGCATTCCTACCCATCAATCCGCAATTATTTATTTATTAACTATCAGCTATGTGTCAGACACTCAGCTAGGAACTGGGGATACAGGTGCGTACAGAAAGCAGGCCAGTTTAGGGATTATAGAATGAAGGAGCAGAGTGATGTGCAGTGAGGCTGGAAAGACAGATGGGAGCCAGATTGTGAAGAGCTTTAAAATTGAGACAAAGCTAAACAGAGGTGTTCAGATTTATCTGGGAAGCAGTAGAAAGCCACTGGAGTTGGTTGAATAAGGGGAGTCACATGGTCAGATTTTTGTCAGGTAAATTACTTCGGCAAGAGTGTGGAGCATAGGCTGGAGTGGGGAAATATTTGAGGCAAGGAGACTGACTTAAGAGACCACTACAATTACCTAGGGGAGACGTGATAAAGGAGGGCCT